TCAAGCTCGACGTCCTTGAGTCGTTGCTGAAAGTTTTTGAAATGCTCACCCACTCCCTTTAATTCTGCCGTAATCTTTGTTTTCCTGCCAAACGTGACTAGCCCTATGTGCTTTGTTGTTGTGAGGTTGAACCCAACAGTGCGGGCAACAAAATTTTCAAACACGTGTTTGGCTTCGTCGATTTTGCGCAGTGTATTGTGCTCGCCGATCCACTTGTCTCCCACGGAGTGGCTCATGCTTGAACTAACGTCGAAGCAGATAACAATGGCTTCTTGCGGGTCGTGCGTGACTTTGTCGGGCTCGAACGAGCTCTCCCAATCGTCGACTGCCCAAATTCCTTGGGTTCGCCGCTCTTCAATGATCGGTTGAAGAGCTTGCAAGAGTCTATCTCCCGATCCTTCATCGAATGTTTCCTTGCCGCTCAGCGGGTTCCAGATAGAGAAAGTGCAGTCTTCCATGTTAACCTTCTGATTCGTGTCGTAAAGGGAAACGAGTCCTTCTCTCGAAAGTGTGAGGGATCCAGAACGCGCATTTCCCAGTTCATTCGGGCCAACTATACGGAATCGACTATTGAAATTTGCCTCGGCGATGAGTCGTCCAAAGTCGGCCATTGGAGGATGAGGTGTGCGAGGGTGTTGGAGCAGTGAAAAGGAGGTGTCTCTAGTGTCAACATAATAGTTGCACAGAACCTCATAATGCCCCCAAGCTGACATTGCAAGGATTCGGAGGTTTTCCTTGCACTCTCCTGCCACTGAAACTTCAATTTTGCGCTGTGAAGCTGGGCCGGCTCTAGATGCCGAAACTGAAGGATTGCCTGCCGCGACGAAGCAAACGACCTCTCGTCGCATGCCATCCGCATTGTCATTTCGCTGCTCGTCGGAATCATGGTCAACCTCTGCAAATTGTACATCTCGCACCAAAGGAGGTTCGTTGTCGTCATAGGCCGGCATTGCTCTAAGGCTCGAGTCGAGCCAGGCGAAGATCTGTCTTGATGCCTCAAGCGCACACGTCTTGGAACGGCCAATGTATCGCATAGGAGTCATGCGCAGGGCTAATTCCCGAAAGCATGCCGCAAGAATGGCAACAGGCCAAGCCTCGAGCTTCTTACTTTCTACTATTTTATGCAAGGCTTCCAAGGCAGGAGGGAAGTGCGTAACGTCCAGAAGAAGGCGCAGGAATTGAGCTTCGAGGTAGCGGCTCTCAGAAAGGCAGTAGAGAGCCTTCTTGAGGCAGGAGATGAAAGTGCATGCGCCCTTGTTGGAGCACTTGAACCCCCATAGTCCGTTTCCGCGATGTTCATTGTCAGTAATATTCATCGGCACGACAAATACATTCAGCGGATTATTCAGGCTCCCGGTGCAACCCATGTCCGCGAGTGTGCTTGATTTGTTCGTTGTTCTCAGGGCACAGGCAGGTAGGAAAAGCTCGACACGGTAGCTATCCACATCCGGGGTTTCGTTTCGGTTATCTCTATGGTAGACGCGGAATTTCGCTATTTCTTGAAAATCGGCGATGGACGTAGAGTGCCTAATCGGACTGTCGTCTGCGGGAATCTTGACCAGAGACAGCTTGTCGAGCGCAAGGGCCGGAGTGATCCAACGAACGTGGATGAAGTTGCTGTGACGTGCATCCGAAGGGAGGGCATTCTGACCGACAGCAACCACATCATCATCCTCGAGGCTAGTGGCATGTTTTATTCGCTGTGAGACAAACACAACATCATCATCATCATCATCAGCGGTGGCCAGCCGGGTGCTACGGCGTGTACGCCGAGCGCTCCTTTCGGATGTCGAGCCATCATTGCCCAGCAGCCTCTTCCGTGGCATGTTTGTAGGCTAGGGAAGTCGCGTGGCAAGCCTGTCAACTTGGAAGGGAACAATTCGTAGTGGCCGAGATGAAGCACTCGAGGTGGGAATGTAGTGGTGAAGTGTAAGGAGCAGACGAAAGATAGAAGAAGTGATGGGGAGACGGACAGGAAATAACACTGTGGACGGATGCCTGACGTGCGTACCCGACGTGCGAGCCGACCAGTCGTTACTTCTCGGCCTAGGGAAAGCAGGTGCCGGAGCACAAGAGGGCTGCGTGTTACTGAGGCGGGAAAGAAGGTGGAAGTCTGTAGAAATGGTGGTAAGTAAATGCCTACACGGCACTGCTATTTGACGGGCTGAAGAGAGCGTAGTAATCTGTGTGTCTAGCCGAGATGTAAACAAAAGACTACACAGTGAATTTCAGTGTTTCGCTACCTGACCCGTTAAAATCACTTGCATCAGCATTCACCCAAAAGCGGCCGAAAAGTCGACGCACATATCTGAGCTACACTTGAAACAACTTCCTGTCTTGCCCAAGCGAGGTCTAACAAGGTCCAATCATAGCACGTACCTACATATTTAGACAAAGGGATATAAAAACCGGCATAATACATTCAACCAAACGCCAGTATCCCCTACTGTATCCCAAAAAGTATCTCTAAGAAATCCCGATTCTGACAAAGCCAGATGAAACCCTATAAGCAAACACGTAAAACTATATCTACGTGACATCCTGAAAATACCTGATGCTAAGTGTTACTTCTCACCACCATACATCTTCACGAGTTCCCACATAGCCCTCAGCACCGAAACGCCACCACCTTGCGTCTCTACGGTACGCCCTCTCCCGCGATCGTTTGCATCCCTGTTGCCGGACTCGGCTTCAGCATGCGCCTGCGATGAGGCAGCCCAGGTCCTTCGCCGCCACTCCGGCGTGGATGGCACCCTCCCATGGCGGAAGCCGCTCCACTTCCAATCCAGCAGCGCTGATGCATTATTCCTATAGTCAACGGCGCCATCCGGGAGCGGCGGCGCCTCAAAACCCCGCCTGTCCCCGTCGAGATGCCCCTTACCCGCCGGCCACCCCCACCACATGCCGAACTCGCCGCGTTCGTTGCGCGTCTTCATGGCCGCGCGCGCGTTGAACGCGACCCAGGGCGCATACTCCTTGCAGCTCTGGGCGTGCAGGCTGGCCTCGACGGGCGTGGCCGCGTACGTCCGGCCCGGCACAAGCGGGCGGCGGGGCAGCGGCGCGCAGAAGAGCGTCAGGTGGTGGAAGAAGATGCCCTTGAATGTCTGCCCGTTCTGCGTGCACGTCCCCGCCGCGTCACACATCTCCTCGAGGATGCCGCCGCGGCCGAGCCCCGCCCAACGGCCCGTCCCGTTGTTGCTTCCCGCGGACCCGGACGAGTCCGGCTTTGGCTTCCAGCCTGTCGCGTTGATGACGTTGCGTACGAGCGTGTGGCCGTCTTCGAGGTAGCTCCGGTCGTCGGTGGACTCCCAGAGGCCACGCAGGCCGGATAGGAGCACACCTTGGTTGTACGTGTAGACCATCTCGTTGCGCTCGTCACACTTGCCCGTGCCGATGCTCCCGTTATGGCTCCATCCATGAATGTGGAATCCGTCAACATATAGGCCCCGCTCGTTCGTCATGTTGCTGTCTTTCAGCCATGCGTATCCATCGATAGCGGCGCGCAGGTATTTCGGGTCGTGGGGCTTCGCGACTGGGATCCCGGCCGCGCCTGCGTCGGCGGAACTCCCTGCGTCTGAGCCGGCAACAAAAGGGGATGGGTTGCGGTCGCCTGGAAAGTAAAGATACATCTCAATGGAGGCGGATATAAACAGTTCGTTCGTAATAGCATTCTTGTACGGCCTGAGGTGTGGGTTCCAAGTCATCCCTCCGCCGCAGAGTTTCGTGTCCCAACCCTTCGCAGCTAGGTCGTAGAAGACGTGCGCGCGGTGCGCAAATGCGCTCATGAACTGCACGCCGTACCACTCTCCGGACGCGCCCCTGCGACTTGCCGGATAGTGCTTCGCCGTGTGCAAGTCGATGAACCGGACACTCTGCAGCCACCCAAGCACCACCCAGAGCATGTCATCGTGCGCCTGCGTGCGAATCGCGAAATCGTTCTCCCCAAAGTAGTACGATATGACCTGCGAGAAGTACTTGTTGATCTCGTTTTCCACGCGCTGGCCTTCGACCGGCAGTTCGGCCCCTTCCAACGTCGGCAGGATGTATTCGAGCGAGTTCGTCAGCGTATACAGCGCCGCGTCGACATAGGTACCCAGTACCGCGCCTGTCCAGTCGATCGAATTCGGCCACGTCCCCAGCCAGAGTTCGAAGAAGTGCGTCTGCATTGTCTCGAGCGCGTAGTGGAGTTCTTCAAGAGGATTGATAGGCGGTGAGCCAGCAGGGGGATGTCTCTGCGCATCGAAACGGATGACGTCGTGTAGGGAATCGTCGACGTCGCCTCCCATGCTAGACAAAGGATCAATTGTTGAAGGGTGCTCATTTGAAAGTCCTGCTGCATCCAGTGCATTCTCCCACATCAGCCGAGGCGCATCGTCGTCATCTAACTTCCACCCCTCCGCTCTCCAATGCAAGCAAAGCAGCAAAACGAAGATCGCAATCCAGTGCGACATGGTAGGATATCGAGCCGGAGTCATCGCAGTCGTCCGGTGTCGTCTGGCGCGAACCCAGAGGGTGGTGAGCGAATGATTCAGGCTGGGCTTCGAGATCATGGGGAAGAGAAGTACGCGCAATCTATGCGGCAGGAACGAAAGACATTGCAGATATCGCGCCGGCGGCAGCGCCCAGCAGCAGTGGGAGAGGCAGCCCGCCGGCTCAGCCTAGTAGGTTATGGTTCGTAAAGCGGCCAAACGGGTGATGCACGCAAGAGGTTGTAATGGCTGGAAGGTCGGACTGGATGTGGACCTCGTGCCCCTGCAGGATGCGACTAGAGTAGTCTTGGCGCTCCTTTGCCGTCCTGTTGGCAAACTTCAGGCCACTTCTTGATGCGGGGTCTGCGTGCTCGACTAGGGTGTGTCCGGTGTTTGCCACGTGCTCACCCTATTGATGGAAGTTTAAAGCGAAAGTTGGAGCCAAAGAAAACAAGAAAAAAAAAAATCTGGAGGCAAGCGTTGACAGGAGCCTCAGATGACTTCGGTGAGCTAAAAAATCAAAAAGTATGTTGACAAGGGTGGGATTCGAACCCACGCGGTTTTACCCACAGGTAGGATTTACCTAAGCAGAAGTCTCAGAGCCTGAAACCTGCGCCATAACCACTCGGCCACCTTGCCTAGACATAAAGAAATTGCCTGGACTTGCACTATATAATTAACATTTGAAGTCTAGCTTTTTCACTACGCTGCTTTCCTATTTTATAATGCATCACGAGACTACGGAGTACGTAAAGGATGTCTTAGCACTTCACCTTAATATGACCCCCTGTATAAATTTAGTGCTTGTCCTGGCAAGTTGAGCTTCACCAACTGATCTCTAGGTAGCCCTGAACTATTGCATTATTCAGTTACTTGTCTGAATCTTTTCCTCAACCTGTGAATCTGAGGTTCTTGCGTTGCACCGACGACTGAATTTAATACGTTACCAAGCTTTTCGAGCCGTCAAAACTGGATAGGGTACAGCTCAGGCAAATGGTAGGAGGATTTCAGGGCTCGATGTAGCATGCGGATGAATATACAACTTGTGCTGGTGGTACCATCGAATGATCGAGGTGCTGCATCAGAAATTCAGATGTCTTTCAAGACTGCGTTGTATCGCCACACGTCAAAACTCCAAAACCCACTTTCCACAACCATGGGATGATGCAAAACGGGAAAGCTCAAGACTCAAGTTGCATTCAGCTCGGGTACTCAGATTGCAGCTATGATACATAGCCGAGCAACATGGCCACTTATTGAATTTGAGGCCCGAAAAGCCCGGAGATATAAACTCGTGATACATGGGGTGATCCTCACAACCATGCTAAGCACTAGAAGAACATTGCGGATCGACGGGTAGGAAGACCGCTAAGGGTCCGCATTCTCGGTTGACCAGGATAAATCCCAGGATCGAGTCTTGGGGATGAACTATATATAGAATCTGCTAGATTGGTGACCACATGGTCCATTCATCGCTTGGAAAAGCTCTTTATGGAGCTCCACTTCAGGCTGCGTATAAGGCTCACGTGCAGGGCAAGCGAGCAGTCCGACTCGGTGACCGGGAAACGGCGGCAAGTGATTGCTGCTGTATTGATGAACAATGCATGCTCGTTTTGCTATCTTAAGCACTACCCCTACATCGTTACCAAGAGATGCAAAGATCGCGATTTTCAGTGGAAAGGAACCCTGCTCAACCCGATAAGATGCAGTGTAACACAGGCACCGTTCCCAACTGCCGTAACGCCCCGACCGGCAGCCCGGGCGAGACGGCCGCAGGAGACGACAACCCGGCTACATCCGAGTCCGCGAGCCTGGCCCCAGGCCGACACCCAGAAATGCAGACGAAAGTAAACAGGCCTTTCTCTTTCTTCCTTCCTGTACAAAGGCCACCGCTCCCGTCATAACGGCGCCTATCCTTTTCCGTATCTTTTTGTCACCGCCTACTCGGAGCACTCACGCCACTGGACGTAGATCTCCTGGGTGAACTTGGCATCAAGGGAGTCCGTGGTGAGCAGGCCGGACTTGGAACGATCGCTGGTCGTCAGGCGGACCTGGGAGTTGATGTTGAGCATGCCGCTCTCGCCGCAAGGCGACCAAACAATGGAGGCGTTGTCGGCCTCATCGTGCTTCAGGTAATCGCCGTCCATCGGGCCTTCGAAAACGGCCTCGGTCGAGCACTGAAGTGAAACGTTAGCGGAAGAAATCTCGTGGAGATTGCGTGATCGCTTACCTGAGCTGTCTGGCCGGAGAAATAGTAGGTGGAGCGGATTGTGCCAGTGACACCCTGGTCGACGGCTGCATAGCCGCGGTAGTCGGCGCTGAACACCGAGTACTGGAAGCCACCAGGGTACTGGAGCTCGACATTGATCTGGCAGTTCTTGCGGTTCTCCGTCACAGGAGTCTGCGGGCTGAGCGACGCCACGTACTCATCAAAGATGAGAGTCATGGTCGTGCGGTCCTCTGAGATGGCGGTACCGACAGTACCCTGAGGGCAGCCAGAGCCACCGTAGGCGACATCCATGATCTGAACGGTGCTCGGGTCCGGGGGTGTGAAGGTCTGGGTGTCGAGAGCGGCCGGAGACGCCGCAATGAGGGCAGGGAAAATGGCGAGGGCTGCAGAGAGCTTCATTTTGGATTATGTTCCTTTTCTTTCTCGGAAAAGATGAGAGACAGGAGAGCGACGAGTTTTTAGACAGGAGAGGGAAGGAGATTTGTTTGAGAGTTCTCAATTGAGCTGTCGTGATGAACAAAGGTTCGGGGTACGGGGCCATATTTATACGCCTTTCGAGGTCATTATGTTTTGGCGATGTGGCGCATCTTGTGACTCCTACGTCGTTTCGACGAACTGCAGGACAAGAAAAGCGCTATGCAACAAGGCCTCGTCTGTTCTCGTGAGGTTTCTGCGAGACTCAATATCTGATACGGGCTCATTACTGGTCCGCCGGGCCGGAACGCTCGAAAGGCATAGGCACATAAGGCAAAGTTGAAGAAACAGCCGCGGACACCGAGAAACTCGTGCAAACTAGCAAATCCTGGTCGTTGATCGCACTCTGGGGCAACACCAATTGCGGGTAGCCGCTTAGTTTCTGGGGTGCAGCGTCGGGAAGTGGTATCCGAAGTTGCCTTGGCCATATGTCGAGGTGATTTGGGGCGCCGATTAAGGCAAGCTGGGCTGGCAAGCTGGACCGATGCTCTCAAGGTCACTTTGGGTAGTAACGCCCCTGATTTGCTGACCGCCCTTTTCTCCATATGATGGTCCGGCACGAAATGGGAGAATTTGCCAGAAATTTTACCAAGCGGGCGGCGTCTGTAGACTCTACCAAGATGTCAGGCACGCACCGGCAAGGGAGCTGATCGCCCATACAATGCGAAAGGTCCTAAAATAGCATTCGCCTAGGAGCACTAGGTCAGGAGAGTTAAGCTAAGGAGACGGCGGGGAACGGTCAGGGCGTGGGAAACAAGAACGAGCTCAAACTAACTGCTGCAAAACAATTAATAGTATCCTCGGTGCACGGTTATTAGCGCGGGCGAAGTCGAGGGGATCAATATAGAATAAAAAGAGTCGTGGGCGGATGTGAGCAGAATGGAGATCTAGAGCAGAGGGGCAGATTGACGTTGAGATTAACCTTAAATTAAAGCCCTAACAACTGCCTCCCTCAGTCGTCGAGAACGGCGACACCCCGCGGCCGGGACCGCTGGTATGCTCGTGTGTCCTATATTAAGGATACGGGCAGGCTAACGCGATCGCTGAGCAGCGCATCGCGCACATGCCGGCAGGGTTTTTACGACGCTGGCCAAATGCGTGGATCGCCGTTTCCGATTCGCGCGACTGCCGAACGGCCTTCGTCACTTCGCGCGATGCCGCGGTCATGGCGACCGAGGCGACGGCTGGAATACGATGGAAAGCGAGACGCGCCACTCGATTGATTGCTGACGGATGTGTTTTGAAAATTGTTCGGCCGTCGAGGGCGCGAATGGCTCCCGCGTATGGCAGTTCGCGATGGTTGCGCACCGCGTTGTCGCCCAACAACAAATCATTCAGCCAATCCCATTCGACCGCCTGAAGCATCATTCGTGTCCCGGAAGCTAGAGCCTCTAGACGGGACGATCGAGATTTTGAGGCACCCTGTATCCAGGGAGCGGTCTTAACAAGATTGTTAGACACCTAACGGATGCGGCGGTTTCATGGCGATGCCCCTGATGACTGGCCCTGAACGCGGCTCTCCAAGCGAGGCCTAGACGGGCGGTGAGAACAGACAATATGTCGCCCCTAGGTTCCTCTCGGCCGCGGCGAGAGTTGCCAATGTAACAATAATAGAACGGGCCATCCGGATATCTCGCAACTTGCCGCTTTCGGGCATAGAAAGCGTCATATGATTGATGTTTATCGAATGAAATGTGGTCAATACCGCAGCGAGCACTACCGCACGGAGGCTAGAAAAAGCTACTCTGAACATGCCGTAAACCGCAGCAGCAGGGCTATTTTGAGGACTGCCGTCATCGTGAGCACCTGACCTGGTTGCGCCTACCGAGAAGGTGAGCGCGCGAAAGCGCCGGGCTTGGCCATCCGGTGGCGATTATCTCAACCGCAAGTACGGAGTAGGCACTGGATGCTCAGCATGAAGTCAGGACTTGGTTGGAGATGCGAAACTCAAATGTGGAAGGGATCACAAGCACTAGGCGACAAGACTAGGCGGCGCAAGGGACGCCTAGCGTGCAGCGGCGCGCAGGATTTGTCAACTTGCCAAACATGATCTGGAATCAATGACGTGCCGATCCCTTGAGGGGCGCCCCGCCACAAGCTCCAATAGACTTGCGATTCTCGATAAAAGCAGCTTCTACAGCTTCACTCTCTTCCCTTGGTCGTCACTGTGGCGATTTTTCTCGTTCGCTTTCCGCTATCTACGCAAACATATAACAGCGTGAGTAATTCCATCCCGATGGCCTTCTCTATGCCGAACTTGTTATCCCGGCTGTTTCGACCGTTCACCACCGGTGCTTTGCGCTTCGGGCCTGAGGGCACGGCAATGGCGCAACCTGTTGGATCTCAGGTCGCCACCGTAGCGGCTGGCTGCTTCTGGGGTGTGGAACACATGTATAGGAGGGAGTTTGGCAGTGAACGGGGCCTGCTGGACGCCCGCGTAGGTTACATTGGCGGAGACACCAAGAATCCCAGCTACCGAAGCGTCTGCAGTGGAGGTACAGGACGTAAGTTGCTTAATCCCCGGAATTGGGTCCACGCGGAACGCTATGGATATGAAGAGCTGCCACACCTACGAATAGCGCGCTAACAGTGCCCGGCCGGCCAGATGCGGAGGCCCTGCAGGTCGTCTTCGACCCGGAAAAGGTCACCTATCGCCAACTGCTCGAGTTCTTCTACAAGATGCACGATCCAACCACGCCGAACATGCAGGGGCCCGACATTGGGTCGCAATATCGTAGTGCTATTTTTTACCACGACGACGAGCAGGCGCAGATTGCGAAGGATGTTACCGACAAAGTAAACAAGGAGTGGTGGAAAGGCAAGATCACTACCGAGATCATTCCCGCTGGCGAGTGGTACGACGCCGAGACATATCACCAGCTCTACTTGGACAAGAACCCCGGTGGCTATGAGTGCCCCTCTCAGTGAGCTCCCT